TAAATATTAATTTATTTAACAATAATAAGTAAAAATGGACCGACAATTAATTTATTTCATTCTTATTTGACGTTTGGATTTATTTGACATTATAATGTATACATATATCTTGATAATCAGTCAAATAAGTGGTATATATCTGGATATTACAGGATATGCAAATTCACATATTATTTATTCATCTACTTTATTTTCAATCTGCTTCATTTATTTTAATTTGGTACCGCGTTGAATAAGTTATATTTCTGAGTGTGTAGAAAGACATTTAATGGAATCTCTAGGAATACTCGTTTAATATCTACGGTAGAGTATACGCGGATAGGAACGAATATTTATCAAGCGCTATCTATTTAATCACGCTTGGGTTGTAAACAACGCGACGATCCGCTCGCGGATGCTGCCGTTCCGATCGGCGAACAAATCGGCGCTGATTAGCCGATACATGCGTCGTCGTGTCGCGGCGCGAACGAATGTCGGATGTAAGTGGATGTAGCCGGTGGTCGAGCGGGCAAATTAATCGATTGTCGACGCTCCATCCGTGTCATCTGTCACGCTGCAGCACAATATGCGCCGCAACAAGAAGCGTCATCCGGTTTAGTAGCCGACTAAATATAGTGGATACATCATTCTTGCGTGCGATAAGCGCGTTTGTCGTCACCCGCAATGGAAAAATTCAAACAATTGGACAAAAAAAAAAAGAAAAAAATTGCGGATCACCGGTCGAGTGATGCGATTACGGCGTTTATCGCGATCGCACGTGAAATATTAAGAACGGATAGAATCCGACGACAGAGAATAAGCGTCAAAGTGCGAAAGAATCAATTGATTTTTTTTTTTACTAGCTCGGGTCTTACGGCTAATTGGTACATCGCGCGCGAGCCATCATGACGCTTATTAAATTAACGAAGGATTCGCAATAGCGCGGCGTGTTTGCATCTCGCTCCTGATGATGGGCCAGGGGAGGACAATTTGTCGATGCGTATTTTACACGTAAGTACGAAACGAAACAACGCGGGCTGATACGGGGCCGAGGGGAGGGGGGCAGATGTCAAAGTGGGCTTCGCCGTGGCCTGCAAAGAACAATCGGTTTTCCATTCGAACTCCATTTAAGCTCTCGATTATCTGGCGGCGGTCCAATCCGCGCCACGTGTGCGCGCGAACATGTTTGTAACCGAGTTAAATTAAAATCCAATTTGTTGCAATAGCTTTCTATATCAGTCGCCGCCGGGGCAGGTCGGCTGATGAGAATAGGGGGTCACACGCGCGGCGATCGCTTCATTGCCGGCGAGAATACGCGCGAGTGCCGCCATAACGTATTCGTGTTTTCGCATGAAATTGAAGCTCTCCAGCTACTACTGAGACGAAAAGCCGAAGAGCACTTTTAATTTGCTTGCGATGTAATTTCCGCGTTTTCGCGACGGATACAAAACAAAATTTCGCGAAAGCGAAACGTCATTCCTGAACTCTCCCGGGTTCGGTATAGACTAATTTCGCGGGGGAGATAATTATCGCGAATTCGTGTGCTGCGTTTGATCGACTTTAATTACACCCGACAATAATGTATGGACAAACAAAAGTACGAGCAGAAATGCGCGCGTTTCTGAATTTTTAATTGCCATTCCGCCTCTTCCGTCGGAAGTCGCGTTATACATTGCGGGGAATCGCAAATGGTTCAAGGATGAACGCATTGCGTTGCCAGTGTGACCAGTTTGTTTTACATTTGTACGAAAACTAGGGTAAACCATATAGTTAGCGAGCACCGCGCGCAGTTATTGGACGTTTGGATTCATGAGCGTCTAATTAGGACAATCTTTGTCTCCACGTTAATTTTCCGTTCCCACGTCGATTTTCAGCGTCCTCAAGCGATGTTATAAATTCGCGATCTCTCTTTACAGAGAATTAGAGTAATATATTTTCAGAATGGTAATTGTATCTTCCAATCATATCGAGTGCGAATTTTATTTTCAGCGATTTATAATATTTATACATAAGTTTCATCTTCACTTTAATAATTCAAACATGAAATTAGCAGGAGAGAGTAATTTAAAATATGTATCATATTAATTACATTTGACAAAGTATTCAGTTGGAGCAAATGTTTCTTATATAATTATTATTTTTGGTTAATAGAATCGTTATTAATTTAGCGTTTTATGTTATGAATTGTTTTTTTTATTATTAATGAGTTAATAGGATTTTTAAGGTAATTTCGCGCAAATACACGATTATCTTTTAACATGTTTCCGCAGCGGCGTACGTAACTTTTTATTACGGCACTAACGTTTACAGTACAAAAGGTCCAGAAGGTGCGAGAAAGTAGGACAAGCTCGATTAGAGCGCTATGGTCGTTTCCATCCTGGACATATTGGAAGCACTGCTTGAAAATGGCTCTCGTTATGGGTCGTTCTTTTTCTTTATCACGCAGTAGAGAAAGGAGGGTTGTAATTTCTCTTCCGTTACTTATTCCAATAACTCTCTCTCGCTAACTACCGTTCGTCTTACTTATCTATATCGAACGATTAATTAATTTTCAATAGCAACGATTACAGGGATTATTAAAAAATTTTGTATTCACGTAACAAATAATTTTCGATTTAGGGAAATAATGATGGGGCAGAAATAAAGTCGCGCACTTTAAGAAAAAAGCCGGAGTAATAATGAAGTTTTTAATGTCAATAAGATTTTTATCAGTGATAAAAAAATAACAAATCGCTGTCTCTGAAGATCATTTATTAATACACCTGATAAAAGTCTTTGTTTCTTTTTTACTATAAGAAATAAAGTTCTTAATGCTCTATTAAGATTAATCTCGCGTCTTAAAATGTACATAGGGAAGTGCGGTGTCAGTTTTGTCTGGTCAAAACTACACGAATAAATGCTGCAGGAACATATAGGTATGCAAAATAATTGATACAATACTTTATTCACTAATACGCACTTTATTATATCGACCAAGTATCGATATGACAAGAAAATAAAGAAGAATATGTGTCTACGCGTAACATTGGCGCATTCGCTCCACGTAACCAAGAGTTCTTCGGTCGAAACTCATTTAATCTCTTTAAAATCTCATAATTAATCAGTACAGGTGTATGTACAAGAACAGTTTATGCATGTGTCTGTATCTATATTTTTATCTCACGTCTATCATCTATCTCATGACGCGTTCGCGCGTCAGCTCGCGAGCGATCATAGATTCGGAAATAGCGAGTGAATTAATGAGCTGCGAACGAATTAATCGGTCGTTAACATTAAAGACAGTCGGTACAATTGATGGCTACGTGATCTCTCGTCTCTAGAAGCACACAAATAGAAGAAAACCTCGCGTTCTAAATTCTTATCTCGACACACTTCGCCCTTAGTGACTATCAAACCGCCCACATACAGGCACGTTTCTAAAAGTACGAGATAGAAGGCGAAACGACGCTCTCTCGCGTGTCTCTCTCTCTTTTCTCTCTTTTTCATTCTTAAATTGCATCTCTGAAATTTTTGCACGTGTCGCTCGAAATACTTTTTCGTCGGATATCAAATGCGTTATACTAAAATATATAATCAATCTTGATTCTTCCTATAGATCTAAAATACCGCCTTTTTTCTCCTCACGCGCGCGCGCACGCGAGAAATAAAACCACTTTGAATCGATTCGCCGTTTTGTTCCTTTTATACGCGGCATGTTATTAAAATTCATTCGCCTTTCCGTTCTACCGTAAAATTCGTGTTTGTACAAGGTGCTGCTGCTGCTGCTGCTGCTGGCGCTGTTGTTACTGCTGCTGTTGCTATACTGCCGATGCTGCTGTGGACGACTAACCAGTGATGGGAATTCAATTAATCGCGTAATTTATCGGGAGGATATGAAATCGAGGAGAATCGTCGGAATACTTACCGCCTACCGCTATCTATTGATTGGTAGAACATGAACGAAAAGAACTTAATCTCGAAGTTCGTTTACGGGGCAGGACGTGTGTGCAAACTTCGGCCCGCTACGTGCCAGATAAATCAGACTTGTTCGGAACGGTTGCGCCCTGTTCTTGCAACCTTGGCCAGAAAGTTGGAGCGATAATTGAGTCGTATGAATAAAGTGGAGCGAAATTCCTTTGCTCTTATTTACCAAAGGAAATGCTCCGGCGAACGTGAACAAAATACGCGTTTGCTCGTATTCCTCGAATAAAAATAAAATAATTAAAAAATACATATTCAGACATCGTTAAAAAATTATAGAATTTGCTTTTAAAAATATAAAATTATAGAGATTATTGAAGTAACTAATTGAACAGCACTAAATAGCAACTAATTAAAAAGCACGAATTCACTCAAATCAAAATTTTACGATTGCTAAAACGGGAGTGTTATCGTGAAATTGAAATACATTAATAATGTCACATGTAATTACAATTTTTATGTCCGAAGTAAAAGATATTCGATTAAGATTCTCAAATTTCTGATTTTTATCATAACGCGTATTGATCGTTTCATTGTTGACAAAAATTCTCAAAAACGTTATTATTTGGATTCCCATCACTGTTCGATTCTACGCAAAATCCGAGATAAGAGGAACGTGGAATATCCATATATTTAGAGATTTATTAATATTAATCTGTCTCTCCGTCTCCTGAAAGGTACGGAAAAGAACAGGAGGGCTTTATCGACGAATCAATTTCGCATCGTATATATGTAGAATAGAAAGAGCGATCGAACATCGAAGACATCGATATTTCTGTTTTCTCTCTCTCTCTCTCTCTCTCTCTCTCTCTCTATGTCTCTCTTTCTTTGTCTATTTTTCTTTTCATGCGCGATCTATAAATACATATTTACAAAAACCTCGAAAAGCGAATGCTAATCTCGTAACGTTCGCGGATGCAGCAGTGGTCCAAAAGCGGCACGTCGAAAAGCCAGTCCAGCTGATGGACATGGACAGAATTTCCATTTTCACGGCAATTTCGAATGGATCGAATGTTGACCCGTAAAACATTAATTTGTACAGGTGAATTACGCGTTCAGGATTAAATTAGTAATTGTATAGCAATTTATTATAATTACACAGTAAAAATATATAATATTCAGAATATGTAACGTTTGTGTACATAGCACTATACAAAATATATATACATATATATATATATACATATGTATATTATATATATTTTGCAGGGTGCTACGTCATCGCGGTTAATGGTAATTAATAAAATATCATACCGGCGCTATAATATTACTACAAGCGTGTAGAAAGATTGCGACTCGTTGCGCATTCTTTGCGCAGAGAAGGTACCGTATAATTCACCACCATCATCCATGCTTAGTCCCCTCGAGAACACCGAGCTCCTTATCGGTTACCATGCTCTTACCAAGCGGGAGAAAGGCGGCCACTTTGCACAGCTGCAGTTTCAGGATCTTTTTATTTTTATCTGCCGACTATAGTTACTAGCGAAGGGTAGTTGCGCTCGGCGACACGTAGTCGTGGTATCGACCGTGTGCAAATCCGCGACCTATACGCTTCCAAATATGCGTACTGTGAAATGTATACATTTTTAGGCATGTTTTTCTTTTTTTTTTTTTACGAAATAGAAAATAATTGCACAGTTTATTCTCTCTAACGTTTTTTTATCGGGACAAAAGTCAAGATGGTAAGCTGAAAAAGCAAGCGCTGTTCTCGGCCGCGATCTCGATGTTCTTTATAGGGCTAAAAGGTTTTCGATACAAGGCCTGATTAACGTCCGCCCAACACTGTCTAGACATTCAGTAACCGCTTGCGGAAGCTTACTGATGCATCGTCAACGGCACGATTAAGATCTCCTTCTTTATATTTAAAATGTCTGGCCAGCTCATCGTCGTCTCGTTGCGACCCTCATGAAAAAATACTATGTATTTTACACACGTATTTATATTTTTATGTACTACATGATTGAATCGTGTGTTCTATACAGTGTGGATCAATTTGATCGTCAAAAATATTTTTAAAAGCGACACGGCGCGAAACACCGCGCAGTCTCAGCGCGCTATATGTACACAACGGAGCGTCCTATACCTATGTATATTTACACAGAAAACAAATTTGCCATTTTACGCGTATAAGTACCTCTTAATCTTTTCTTCGGTTTCTCTCGATTATCGCACTTCACTCGCCCGTGCATTTTATTGTGTCTTCAGTTTGTACTTCACACTTCTACCAGTTCAATTTTCGAAAAAGACTCTCTACGCTATTATAGTATTATAGTACACGCTATAGCAATTTTCGGAAATTTTTTTCTCTGTATTGTACAAGTTTTATTCGAGAAAATGCGATAAGACCAACGCCGGATCATTCTTGGAATTTCGATGAAGTCATCAGGATTTTTCAGAAGAACTAGATCTCTTCCGGGAGTCGATCGCACAAGTGTCAATTAATCCTCGAATATCAATCGACTGCCCGAAGAGTCGTTTATCATATATCTATAACACTAAAATTTTTTTCTCACATAAAGTGCTCTAAAAGTTAGCATCTATAAAAAAGTCTTTAGTTTCAGCCACCTCAAAAATCCGCCTCATCGAAATCCAAAGTTCCGGCGATAGAGAAGGTGGGAAACTACGAAAGCGTTGAACTCGCAACGCGATTCTATTATTATTATTAGGGAATTGTACTCTGCTAACTCGATTGTATATTCTCGTACGAATAATCTCAAAAGTAACTGGCAAAACGCACCGAGGGCATTTCGAGTAATTAGAATTGCAGACGCATGAAGGCCGAATGTTACATTTTATGTCTTAAGATTTGCACCTTTGTTTCAGCGAATATTATTAATTCGCATTATTAGTTCGCTTTAACGCTTAGCGAAAATTTTTTATGTTATCTTTCTTGCAATGGGCGCTCCTACTATGATTCAACTCTTCTTAACAGTTTCCGTATCAAGAAATTCCACAACATTAGGAGGGTGATACGATAATTATATTCTCTGAGTCACCGAAGGTGCAAACGATGTTAACCGCACTCAAACGTAACCCATTGTATGTGAATATAAAAGTCACACATAAAAAAATTCATCCTTTAGAATTAATTAATAATTTGCAATTAAACAAAAAAGATGCAAATAACGATATTTGCTGAATTTTTTTGACTAAATATTCATTTTTATAAAAAAAATTATCTTTCGACACATATATATAGCACCTTGTTTCAAATCCCTATGTCCGAAAAGAATTTAGAACTTTCTTCTGCAATTAGAGGAAAAGGAAGAGACAAATACTGTCAAGCTAATTGACGTATTGACACTTAAGTTAAACAATGGTATTCGTATTTTTGTTCAACAAAGATAGCACGTGACGTACGACTCTCCGAATTCTATTATATATTTATGTAACATACCTGATAGTTCGATTATATTAACAGACTATATTTAAATAAAATATTTTAAGCAATACTGTATTCAAGCAGTACTATATTTAAATATAGTATTGCACATCTCCAGGGGCAGCAATATATTACAATGTTGTAGTCTCTTTCTTTATAAAATTCAAGCATGATTTCTTACTTATTCATTTAAAGTTTATTTGTCTTCTATGAAAAACAACCAATAAAATAAATCAAAAGTCGCGTATCACGAGCTCTCTTTATAAGTACATTCTCAACTATTTAGGCCCGATTCTTGCGAGTCAAATTTACATAAGCTCTATAATCGATATCGTCGAATCATCATAATCCTCATCAGTAGAAGAGGTAGCGAATACTATTCCTTTATCGTTTCGACCGAGGCTTATCGCTACGTTATCCGATGCACACCGTAAATTTGCATTTTAATATCTTAATATCTCGTTAAGCTTCATTAAGAAAAATTATCCAATTTTCTCAGTTAATTTGACGTTAACGTTTTAACGTTTTTATTTCTGTCATTGTAGCGGCTTCATCCCTCGGGCGCCTTTCTCAAACTCAGCGAATATTCTGTTATTTAAATAATTGATTTTCTTGCGAGCTTTGATGGGATTAATTCTTTATTGCTCGTTACATCCGCGGTGTTTCAGGTCAAAGCATCTGACTGCATCGCAAATGTCTACTCTATAAACGCGTTAGAGGATATATCGATTAGCGAAGTAAAAACACGACAAATGTTGTGTTCGTCATCGACTCACTACGACAAATCGAGTGAAATTCTCTAAAAAGCTGTATCCCTAAAGAATGACTCGAATATCATTTTCATTTTCTCTTTTTTTTTCTTTAGCGAAGTTACATTATTATTATTTATCGTACGTTTTTTTCATTGATTGTTAAAAAAATTTGACTTTCCGAACATGAAAATAGTTTACTCCCCCTTTTTTTGTTATTTAAATATCGAAACGTTATTGTTACTCGGGTCATTAACTTACGACTTAAAACTTAAGCTGTATAAACTTGAATCTACCGCTTTTGTAACGCGATTTACATTAACGAGTCGTGTGAACGCAAATGTTAGACACACGTTCTTTAAATCATATTTACAATATGTACAGCAAATAACTTTTTATCTCGATCACTTCCGTTTAATGCCACTTAGTGTGATTATTGCATCGATCCATTTCTCTCGTTTTCTCTCTCTTTCTCTCTTTCACTCTTTCATTCTCTCTCACTCTTTCTCTCACTCACTCTCTCTCTCTCGCTCTCTCGCTCTCCTGCTAGCAAAATGTATAAGCGTAATTACAATTCGGAAATTCACAGAAACCGAACGGCAGTCGGATCGCATTTCAATGGGAGGAATTTTTGAACAAGGCACAAGTATTGCCTGTTGTGAAGATTAAAAATTTCAGGCTACAAAGTTCCATCAATCTACATCGTTTTTAGGTCACGCGCGCGTTTAACGACAATATACTCTTTTTTTATTTTTTTAACGATCTTAAGCAGATCGATGAAATATTTAATCGCGTGTTATGCATTACGACGAAGAGATATTTTCGTGTTATGTAAGAAATGCGATGGAAAAAGTAGATAAAATGCCATTATTAATCAGTGAGAAAATTAAGATCCTTCAATTCTAGTTAAATGAATCTAACACTAGTAGATGATAAATAAGCTTTTTATCTTGGAAAATTATCTTTTGTTAAGTATCTCGCGAATGAAGTAATGCTTGTGCCTTGTAGACTTAATGAGCAACGCTCTCGCGATAAAAAGAGACGTAATAAAGACGTGAATAAAGAAATAATTTCACTTCTTGCGTGTAACGTATCGCCTACGTTTCTATTAGCGTATTAGCTATATGTAAGCTTTCAAGTTTGTGTTCCTCCGCAAAAAAAAAGAGAGCCGTTCATTTTAAACGGTTGTCGCATCGAAAATTTTGCAGAGTTGTTAGCTGACCACGATTAAGTAATTCCGGCTAACTTAATCGTCAGCTTGAGCTGTTCTCATTCATTTAGAACAGCCGTGACGCCTGGTGCATAAGTTACTGTTGGATGCGTATAAAAGCCGGCGTAATAGTAGTAACGGTCGTTGTCCTCGTAACCCTTTTGATGTCTGTGCGACGCAGTTTGCAGTACCTTATTATAATCTTCAAGTGGTAGCACCATTACTTTGTGGGAAATCGTTTGCACGTCGTTTGAATCGCTATGCTTCGATTCAAACAGGCCGCCCTGCGAATAGACAAATTATCATTTGCTTTTATTCGAACTTACTGATGTACAAGAGCAACAGAGCGATTATTTTTCGTAATTTTTAAATGTTTAATATATTTTGATAATTGTACGTCTAATTAAATTTTTATAAATATTTTCTTCTACTTTCAAAGCTCACTCATTCACTGTATATAGTCATATTGCGTTATGATATCAGAAAATCATATAAATATTATATTATATTATATATTTTTCTTGTATATCAAAATAATTTTTTTATATACACATAGTGCAAAAAAATATTTGTATAATTTATCGTTTTTAACGCTATAATTCGATATGACAGTAGTGAATCAGAAGCTTTAACAGAATATTTCTGAAAACTCGAGCGCAAAGCATTTCTTTTAGATAAAAGAAAAATTACCGGAGGGTTTAGACTGCAGGGCGGTTGTAGCTCCTCGGGACGGTAGAACCATTGGGATCTGACTCTCATCTCTAATTTCTGGTTCAGCCACAGCGACACAATCTTGCCGATGTAAGGTTTTTCGTGAGGTTTTCGATAGGAATAAAATAATACGCTGTCGCCTATGTTTATCGTTTCTCTGCCGCGCCGTATAGCTGTGAAATATTGATTTCCGCCAGATACGCGACTGCTGCTCGCCCATTTCCAGTGGCGTTTGTTAGGCAGCATGCGGGCTATCGGACTAGGAGTCTCGACGGGATTCGACGGGTTGGCCACAGTTGTTGGATTGTTATTAGCGGTGCGATTCTTCGCGACACGACTCGCGGAGCCGGAACTCGTCGAAGTCTGTGCCGTCGAAGCGTTTCTTGTCAAGGCGCGATTCGTCGTTGTGCGATTCGTCGCGACGCGACTCGCCGAGGCGCGACTAGTTGAACCGCGAACTGCCGAGGCCGTCGAAGCTTGGCTTGCAGAAGTGCGATTGATCGAGGTACGATTTGTCGAAGAGCGATTCGTCGGTGCCTTCTTTAGTTTCTTTTCGACTGGTTCTGGCAATTCCTCAGGCTCCTCGTCGTTGGCTTGGACGCCTTCTGCGAATTCTTCAGATTCCATCGGTGTTTCAACGCAAACTTGATCGGGTTCTAAAGGTTCTTCGGCTTCTGTCTGAGTCTGCTGGACAGGTTCTTCTTCCTCAGGCTGAGCCTGTTGAATGGGTTCCGACGGTTCCACTTGAACATCGGTATCTTTTTGGACTGATTCCGACGGTTCTTCAAGCTCTATTTGAGCTTCGTCTTTCTGAGCAGGTACCAATGCTTCTTCAGTTTCGTCATCTTCTTCGGACAACCTTGTCTCCTCGGTAGCGGAAAAGTTTTTATTCGGCAAATCTGTTGTTTCCTCTTCATTCCTCTGCTCCCAGTCCCGATTGCTGAAAAACATTTCAACATTTCTGACAAAGATATCGGAGAAATTTAAACATAAAAGTAGAATTAATCTATAATTTGTAATGTTTTATTTTAAATACGATTTAAGATAAGATTTCGTATTTAAGATAAATCTTACAAATATATACTTATACTAATTATACAAACTTAAATCTCAGTTTTATATTTCTTGTACACGTTGCATACATTGTAATAAATAAAACTTCCTTTATTTTTGATTGCGATGTAAAGTATAAAATACATAAATATATTGTAACGACAGATTGTAACGACATGTACACACCTTGTGCTGTTCGCGTCGCCATTGCTGCCATGATGTCTGTGTTTGTGCTTTCGATGTTTTCTATGCTTATGCTTTCGATGCTCCTTACAGGACCTATGCTTTCTATGCTTCTTCTTGCCTTCTTGAATCTCAAGTAGCTTCCTATTCTTTTTTATTTTCTTCATGTGCTTTCTTTTGCGATATTCCGTACCGCTCGTACTGCTCGTTTCGACGTTCGTTTCAGTCTCCGCCTCGGCACCATCGTTGGCGTTTGTCAATTCTACCTTAGGAACGTAGGGACACGTGGCGAAACTGTTATTGCCAGCTATCACACTCCGAGACGTTGACAGAACGCTCTGACCATTTGATGAAGCGGTCTGATTGCACGCGGAACGCTTGTCTTCCGATGTCGACGTTTGTCGCCGTCGTTTGCCCAATGAGAGTAGAGGATTCGGATCGTATACTGCAGATAAAGATTAAAAAAAGAGAGATAAAAACGCGATTTTATTTTATTATATAACAGGAGACATTTTACATCCTGGTTTGAGCGACATAAAAATACGTATACGTGAGACACGTACCTACGACAGGATAATTAGGCTGTAAAAGTCTGATGTCCTCTAAGACAATTAAACCGCTGTCTCCATCGTCGAATTCCACGGTGACGAATTTCTCGTCGTGCTGCGGATCAGGTACCATAGGTTTCACGGACGTTCCCGGGTACAAACACCTATACTGTTGGCTCCAATACGCGCATAATCTCGTGCCGGGTGATAGCTCTTTCGTCGAAGTCGGACACACTTCCACGATCTACGTGATAAAATATTTTTACTTTCAATATATTTTTTTTTTCTTGTAGGAAGAATTATTATTTATTTCTTTAATTTTTCTTTTCTTTGTATTTAACTTATCAGCTGTTTATCAAGAGAATACATAAGTGAATAGACTCGAGTATATGTAAGTAAATAACAAAAATAAAAAAAAACGAATTATACTGTGATCATTGAATAATAAAATTTTGTTGCACAAAAGACTTTTTCGATCACTTTTCAATCTCCTACAAGAAACTTGAATAAAAAGAATTTGAAATTTTGTTTAAAAGATATTATTTTAATCGTAGATTTACCTGTGATAATATTTCTTTCTTACGTCATAAAAGAGGAATGAAATTTTGATAAGTAATATTAAAAATATATAATTAAATATATAAAATAATTTTAATATTCAGAAAACTTTGTTACGGCAAAGCATTAATGGCAGTTGATAAGTGATAAGTACAAATAAAAATAATTATTATAATCTGAATTATAATACTAACCAAGTCTTTTGTAACTAATAATATCAACATTCTTAAGTATATTCTTTAAATGGTACAATCTCCATGTTTGTACATATGTATGTAACTCGTTGCCTTCTTTACTAATTTTGTATGCCAGAATTGACGTTTGTCTACTGCAACAATTGCATAATTGGCCAAGACATTGGTGAACACCACGAGGATCAGACTCGTATTTGTTAAATTTGGATTTTAATTCGCATCTGATTTATTGTAAGGCAACAAGTTAAATTAAGTCGATGTCGCTGGTTCCGAATGTCAAGGCGCGAGTCTAGACTTATTACCGCGTCTTTCAGGATCTCTTCTCTCGAGTGAATATGCGGTCTGTTTCCACGTTCGCCATCCAGCGTAATGGAGTAAACATCGGGCGCTTGCACAGCGCTCAGTCTGCCCGCATAGAAGAGACCGCCTATCGCCATGAGAACTCGCAGCTGATCGATGGCCAGATGAGCAGACGTCAACTTGCATCGGTTGACAATGCTCTCGGAAGTCCTTGCAGCTGCCTTGGCGCACTGTTTGCACTCCAGAGATTTGCGCCGCTTAGAATCCTTCTTGTCGCGATTCGGCGATTGCGACGAACTGGATTTTCGCTTTTTTTTCTTTGACTTCTCATGCCGTGAGCTTTCCGTCTCCTCCGATTGTTCTGCAGATTCTATCTGCATCTCCTGATAGACATTGAAGAAATTTTATTAATTGAGAAATGTTATATCTTTTTTTTTTGTTTTGTGCTAATGTTGTCTGTTTGTAAAATGTACTCATTGAGGCACCATCAAAGATCATACGAAACTTGTTGAAGGTGCAATTTTACTTAATATTTGCATCAAGAACTAAAATAAAATTAATTATTTGTTTTTTAATTAATTAATTTTTTAATAAAAATTTTTAGATATTTTTAAGCGTTAGGAATTTATAACTTTATAGAATTTTTGTTAATCTTTTTTAAATTATCTTAAATTATGTATTTGCGAAATTGTGCGGAAATTTACGACAAAATTTAAAAATTTATTACCTCGATAGGATCTTGAATTATAGGTTTTTCAGATGGTACGTTTTCAGGTTGTACTATGTCGTTCTCGTCGTCCTCCCAATTTTTCACTTTCACCTCCGCTTTAAGTTTCGGTTTTATCTTACCGCTATGCTTCTCAAGTTTCACCTCTTGACTTAGCTTTGCTTTTTCGGCAATAATCGAGCTGATTACATTTTTGTTATGCAGCGGAGTTTGCTTTGCTGGCTTTGCCTTCATTTTCGTAACTTTTTGCGTCTTGACTTGTGGCTTCGGGGAAGAGACTTCTGATTTGAATGGCAACGGGGTATAATCGGTTTTATTATTTATGCATTGCTGAAAACACAAAGACGGCATTGCACTTATTAAAATCAATAATACATGACAGATGTTTGGAAATAGAAAATAACATTTTAAAGCTAGTACCTTCGTTTGTAGATGTCTGTTCTTTGAAGATAGCACGTAACCAACTAGAGAACTCTTGCTCTTAGGCTTCTTAGCGACGATTGTCTCCGTTAAGTGCCTAGCACTGCCGGAGGTGCACGTGAGCTTACGCGGTCGTCCGACTTTTCTCTTCTTGGAAGCGGAAGTCGAGCTTGCGACAGTCGGTGCTGGTGACGACGTGTCATAGCTCACCTGAAAGATAGAAAATTAATATGAACAAATGTATAGAGAATCACACATTTCTAAAATTTCTATGCTCTTGTTATGCTTTTTACGCTGCGTTAGTAATAAGAAGTGAACAAGAAAATAAATACGTTAATAAATAAATAAAATTATTTAGGAAGACATTAATCTACGTACCGTTTCCGTACTTTTCTCGTCATCCTCTTGTGCTGCTTTGCTGGAACCAGGTAATATCGGGATCGGCGATGTCACAGGCGGTACTGCTATCGGAATACTGGGTATACTATCCAAAAGTTTTATATGACTTCTGGGCTCGCCTAGTTTCACGAGATTTACATTGCATTTCGGCATAGTCAGAACAGCTGAGGCTATCGGCGAAGATGCGCCAGGCTCCGGTGATTCTGGTGATCTCAAGGGTGATCTTCGCGACGGAGAGGTCATAACATCTACCGCGGATGGCGATGATAACGTCCCATGGTCAGAACTGAAGAAATTGTTGTTAATCAAATTATATATTGAAACATAGAATTAGCATGTAAATTTACTATGTGTTTCAACTTTATTTTTAGAGATGTTTAAAGATGATAAAATTTATCTCTTAATACTGTCGACATCAAATTCAAATTATCTTGGAAATAATTTGGAATAGGATACATGTTCATATGAACATTTTTTGGTTAAACTGACCGATAGTATCACTTCTCAGAAATATTTTTTTTTCTCCTGACACATCCTGTATATTGCCTTTTTATATTTCTTATCTTAAAATTGATCAAGTATGAAAATGACGTCGAGTTTTCTGTATTATATAATTTATTATTTTTTTATTCACACTTACCTAGTAGAAGAGTGACTCTTTTTCCGCGGTCTGCCAGAACTTTTCTTATCATCCTTTTTAGGAATCAACTTGGAAAGCTCCTTCTGCTTCTCTCTATATTGTCTCTGAATATCGGCCATCTTGACTCTCATGTCAAGTTCTGTGGCGTTCATGCTTGGCCAGTCGTCCTCGTTATCGCGATTTCCTTTCTTGGCTATGAACTTCTTCGCCTCTAACTTTGTTCGGGCGTTTTTATAGTCGTGGTTGTCCCTCTCTTCGACAGATGTTTTACGCTTGTTATAATCTCTAATTTCGCAGCTCGTTGACTGTTCCGACAGGACTTTTGACTCGAATGTTTCGCCCTCCGAGTCCGACAGGTTGTCCTCTTTCGGAGTTCTATCGTAAAGCGCGTCATTACTTCGTAAATTATCAGGTGTTTTATCCGAGAGAACTTGAAGATTTTTAACAGCTTCTACATTGGAGTAACACTCCTCATCGTCTCTATTGAGGGACCGATCTTCCGAGCCGATAGTTTTTTCATCGGTGATCTTATTGATTTCTTCCTCCGAGAAATTATCGATATTCTTGGTTCTCTCTTTTGTTTTCAGAGCGCTTCCTTGCTTTCTTTCGTTAACTTTCATTGGCTGTTCTTCGATGTCTTTCTCATGATAATTCAGCGACGTATTCTCAGTTTTCTCTTCGCGATCGTCGAGCTTGAGTCGTTTTGAACGGTGATCGTCAGGCTCAATATACTTTCTTTTGCCTTCGTTTTGCTCGAGAGAACTACTTCTGCCCAGATTCAACAGTAACCTACCGGCATGCGAGATTTCCTCCGAGCTTTCGAGATTTAATTTCCGAGGAACCTTGTCGCCCACCTCCATAATCTGTTCGGCCAGCGCACAGAGTAAGCCGAGAGGACTACCAACGTTATTGTTATTATTCTCACTCTGTTGATTTATCAATTTGCTTTTAACAGGTGACTTCTCGACGTCCGTATCCAGTTGCAGATGTTCCGGCTGGCCGACTCGTTGCTCCAACTGCTCGATGCTGTTCGACAGCAATTCGAGACCGCTCACATCAATGGCTGGCTTTTGCTTCTGTATCCTGGACTTTGCCTCCGCGTCTTCGGAGACGTGATCGAATTTACGGGTCACGTTGGGCTTCGCGACTGGTTGTACCTCGCAGCGCCAGACAGTCTTGGGCTTAACGTAAGCGGTAATATCGTGAGAGACATTCTTTTCGTTTTTCGCTAACAATTTTTTTTCCTCGAACACCTGGATATTATTGTTGTTACTCCTGCTGTCGTTATTGTTCTCGTTAAGTAGGCACTCGTTACTAACCAAATGCCTGTCGTTTTGAGGCGAAAGTACCAATTGATCTTTAATATGCTGTTCGGATATCGCAGTTTGCGAGGAAGAGATCTCGGTATCGATCGTGCCACTCTCCAGAGACTGGCACGATCGTAGAAGATGCAACTTCTTCGGTATCGTTTCGGAATATCTCCGCGGCTTGATATTCTCCACGCTCGATGTCTCCATGGATTCCTCGATTTTTTGAGGTAACGCGGCTTCTTGCAGTGCCGCCGCATTTTTTTTCAGCTTTTCCACCACGTTCTCGATACCCGGATGATGGGACTTCTCCACCGATGGTCTTTTCGTCGCTTCCTGCGACGATTTCTCGCAGCTGGATCTGGATCTGTCGCTGGTGGACGTTGGCTCGCACTGAGACGTATTGTAGCACGTCTCGTAACAACTGTCGTCAGTCTCTTGCTTGATAGCTACTTGTTGCACGTCCTGATCGTCACAATCGATATTAGGCATGTCGAAAGACTTGACTGTAATTTGAGGCCGGGCTTCGCCGTTTGAGGTATTCCGGTTCTTGTCGCAACTCTCGCAATTGACTCTTAATGTCTCCGTCGAATCGGCTGCGTCTAATTTTATCTCATTGACGATTGGCGGGTCCGATGTTTTAGAACATGTTTGACGATGAATTTCGATGTTATCCGCAGCATCGATGGTCTTCGATTCGACCTGAAAAGGACAATTCTAGATATTGCACTAGAAGGTATCCAGAACGAAACGGGTTACAAGAAAATCACGTTATACAGAAAATTTTAAATAATTGACAGCTTACCTCTTTTTCATGGATGTTAGGATTTTGCGCAATTTTGTTCTCCTCGCCCTTGGAATAACCATCTCGCTGTTCCACGTCTCTTCTCCTTGCGAAAAACTCCAGATTCTCGTGGAAACTATCACAATTTTCTTCGGTGATCTCGATGATTCTGGCACCGAGCCTGCTGCCCCTGCTGCAAACAGGCGTCATCTTGTCGTCCTTGCAAACTTCCTCCTCGACCCGAGTATCGTTCTCAATCGCCTTGAGCACGAGACCTCTTCCATCTTTCGCCGAGTATTTAGCACAATCGGCCATGTTGATGATTGTGTTCTCCGCCTTGTCCACTTTGGTTACAATGCCGCACGCGGTCGGATTTACAGTAGTCGTAGTTGTCGTGATTCTAACGACGTTGCAGATCCTCTCCGTCGGCGATGGCACGATTTCGAAATTCGTTAGATTCGTTCCCGTGGATTGGGACGCGACCGGGCAGGGACTTAGATTCTGCTCCTGTTTCACGAGAGCCTCCTGCTTCTCCTCGTCCTCAGGCGCATCGGTTTGATTTGAGGCGTCCTGAACCCCGAATGACGGTGGCTCGATCGCGTGAACCGTCGCCGGTATTTCCGGGGGTGGTGTCAGACACGAGACCGGCGACGTAGCCTTCGTGAAAATTTTATTCTTTAAAAATTGTCAGAGTTTCGCATAAAAAATCTCTTTTTTAAAATTATTATTAAAGTTCTCTCTAATTTCTCGTAAGGGTATCATAAAAGGATAAAAAAAGACGTAAAGAACCTTGTTTCATATGCACTCTTATCTGACGGCGCTCTCAAATTTTTTTGGATTCAAGATTTAGTTAACGTTCCGCGCAGATATCGTTAGATTTGTTTCGCACGAGGAAAAGAGAAAGACCTTCGGGCGAGAACGGAAGAGGGGAAGGCGGGTGCGGTGGAGTGCGGCGGTAATTACGTCAAACTCCGGGCGCGGTCCAGCCATTCGCATAATGTGGAAACGTTGTGGCACATTGTATTAATCATGGGCAAACCCGATTTGCATCGCTATCTGCATAGATATTGCGCCGGCCGGCCGGTCGGTCGGTCGGTCGCGCAATAATTCGCGTTGTACGTTGCATACCGCGCTTCGGCATAGGCGCGCACGGTGTTTAAATCTTGGTGAAAGGTGATGTTACTTACCTGTGACCTGCAGTGCGTGGTGGTAGGCTCGGCCTGGCTGATTTGCACCAGCGCCGGCGCTTGAGGGTAATAATGCAGCGTGGTAACCAGGGCTGCGTCCGGTACCAGAGCACCCGTCACGGACGTCATAGTTTGCAAGGCGGTCTTCGACGACTCGGTAGACGCTGCGGAAAATCGCGGAACATTTTTACGCGGTTATGTAATGTATGCGACACAACTGAACGATTCGCTGCACCAGTAATATGCAGCTATATATATACCATTCGATCCGATTTTTTTGGGGGGAAATTTTAAGAGAATTAATTTAAATTTTGCAGTGCATCGATAAATTTTTTTTAATTTTAAAGAAATTTTAGAAGAATTTTTTAGAAGAAGAGTAAAACGCGTAAAAAACATGATATTTTATTGTATTTTAAAAAGCTTTTTCTACAATCATAGCTGCTTATATTCGTTTCTCTTAAAAAAGCTTTTTCGTTTTGTTTCCAACAAGGACTCTCCCTCTTTGCTAGGAAAAGTGATTTTACGTACTGATTATGGTTGTCGGACTGTTGCTGCATTCCGTCTCGATCTTGACTATCGGCAGCGCGCTTTGTTGTTTTCTTTTGTTCTCGGTTAGTACTAATCGCGCGCCGCCGATATCACCCAGAAGCTGTATCGAGGGTGGAGGCGGTGGTAGCAGGAGTGGCGGCGGTGCAACGTTACTATTGTGATTCGAGTAATTCGGCCACACCAGAGCCTGCTGCATTTGTTCTGTCGAGGAAAAATAACGTAAAATTGATTTTCGCCGCGTCGCACGTTAAGAGGGATATACGTTTAGAATCGCATTTCCGCATTACCCGCAGCGTGGATAAGAAGAATGTGTCCGGTCGTTGGATCGCGGACTAACTGTAATCCACCTTGCAGCCCAGAACCCATTTGCGGAAAGCCGACCGGCTCCGTTGGCATCGCTGTAAAAGCAACGTCAATTTCTCATCCTTTGTGGAACCGTGTGTATTAATTTTGATTGTTTCGTACATATTTTTATGTTATAATTCCCTTGGATATGCATTTGACCGCATAACAACGTAAAAGTTTAAAAAATATTTGTCGAATTATTGGTCTTTCAGACATTTTTTTTGTTCAGCAATTTTTCATATCGTAATTCCGACATTTGGCACAAGAAAACGAAGAGATTATTATAATTATCACCGTTGTTATTTAAATATCTGTCGAAGAAGCGTAAAATCGGTTTTGCAACGCTTCGACGCGTGAATTTTTGTCCGAACGCCTATCGAGCGACGAATTAAATTAAACGGGATATGCGTGAATGATTTACACGGCGCGAAAATACGCGCGCGAGCTGCAGACCGGGCGATGTAGTTCAACGTTATTTGGATAAATGTCACTCGGTCAGCGAGGCCGGGGAGGTCAACGCGAGGGGTGAATTCGATCCGAAATTGTGTATAGGGTCGCTCGTTAGTGGCCCGATTAATCCCTCACGATAGATGTGCGTATGATACACGCACATCGCGAGATGTTAATTAATTCGAACCTTTGTTCATTGATGCGATCTGTTTATACTGTCAAAAATGAATATTATGCGAATTTACGTTGATGCAGGTAAATAACCCGATATCCGCTTCTCCAGTAGTGCGCGCTACTCTTTCATCAAATTTTACTTCGGTAAATAATCAAGTACACGCATAGTGTTAGTATAGAGCAAACACGATTTAATTAGCGTTAACAGAATTTTACAGACCGTTTTATCACGATCGATACCGAGAGGTACTCATATTTTCTCGCAGTTTCGTATTTCTCGCATCTCTGATTCGTTAATCTCTAATCACCTCGACTTTCGAGATGATTACGATTTTCGTGTTGGCGGCATAAATTATCTGTCCCACGAAGTTTCGTTCGATTTCGATTCGTAAAATTTCGTTTATCTTACGAAATCAATTGGACGGAGTTCGGGGTGGTGTTTCGCACATCGCGCTCTATTATTTTTATAATGATGATCGCGGATTACCCACCTGCGGCCGCCGTAGCCGGATACTGCCACAGTGTGGGCGGCCAAGCAGCGGCGGCCGTATCGGCCGCGGCCGCCGGTCCGCCGCCGATGCTGCCCAGGGTGGAATTCAGGCTGGAATTCAGACTGGAATTCAGGCTCAGCGAGGGCGCGAGAGCCCCGGAGGGAATGGCAGCGAGGTGGGCCGCACGATCCTCCCCTCCAGGCCCTCCGCAGTGCACCAGGGTAGTGCCGCCTACCGCCATGGCCGTGCTGGAACCTACAACGGACCCAGACTTGTTCATCGAGATTCATTCACTATAAAGATCGGCAGAGAGATCGAGGGGAGCAACCGTCGGTGGCAGGGAGCGGAAACCCCCGAGCTATGGATGGCTTCCCCTTTCCACCAAATGACAATAAAAGCCAGCAATTAGAGAAATTAGATGTAGATGAGCATTAGTTCGGAATATTCGGAATATTCAATGAATATCGGTCGGATATGACCCGTAATATTGCGCAATAATATTCTGGTCCTTTTTAGATTTGCGTTATAAAACAGATTAAAATATCGAAACCGTGAGATTTCTGCAGATTTTAAGGTAATAGGTATAAGCGTAAGAATTCTCAAATAAGATTACCGAAAATTCAGTTCATATATTGATGATTTTATTATATTAATAAGAGATTTTCATTAAAGTTTCACAGATTGCCAATTAAAAGTCCGTACTTAGAATCTATACGTAAAACCGCACATTCTCTTCTATCAATGGCGTCATTTTCGAAGAAGTATCGTCATAAAAATAATAGCCCCAGGCTGCGTAATAGCGGCGTTATTTTTTCGCTATAAATTACGCTTAAGATTACGAGACAATGCAGCAGGTAAATCGTTCCTCGTACGTTGATATTGAAAGCGATAAGCGTAGAAAAGTTGGATCGGGAAAGTATCATGCAATTGATATTAAAGATTTTCATCGCGCGACGAATGAATTTTCATTCAAATATACGCCAGCAAACCTAAGCGACCTCTCTTTAATATTCGCTTTAGAGTTACAACTTGAACGATCACGCTGCGAGAACATGCTACATAACTGGGTATCGTGTAATATTGCATGCAACTGGAGGGGACAATGCTCATTTGAAAGATATATTCTTTAATTGAAACAAAAATGTTGCAAAATTGTCGAAGTTTGCCACCAATATTTGGTCATCTAATATTCCTTCAGATACTCGATATCATATACTCGATATAAAAAGCGACAATCGTGCGGTTTACTGGAACGTAGACCTTGCAAACAATTTTCCATTGCAACGCTACGTTTTTATCAATTATAGTAGTATGAAAAGAATTCACACACTTTTGTAGAGAAATCGCAATACTATACTTCTACCATTTACACTTTTTGCACCGCTTTTTCATGCTCGCGACAGGCATAATTCCTACATGCGAGGGCTCCAAGAGTACGATGTATTATATTCGCCTTATTAAATGTCGATTTTCCATTGCGAGTAAGAATGCACCAATGTTGTACGCTCGCGATTTTCATTCATCGCGCGCGCCTGAGGAATAGAGTTTCATAACCGTGATATCTCCGTGAGAAAAACTTACCCAGACTGTCCGGCTGGAAATGATGATAGCTCGTCGCGTGATGGGACGTGTGATGACTTAAGGACACATTGCGCATAGACGTCGAAGTCTCTTGATGCTGCAATCGCTGCCTCGCCACAGCAATGCCAACCGGTATGCCACCGGCTCCCGCATTAGAGACGGCTATCCCTGAAACGATTAAGGAAATCGCGCGTGAATCGCAACGAGAGAAACTGCGATGTTACACTCGCTGTCGACTCGATCGTAAACCCATGGAGAACGTAAGATTACGTTATGATGAAGCACGAACAGAAGCGGTTCTCGGAAGAACATTGATTGACAAAGTCGATCTATCATTGAATATCGATCTATCGTTGAATACTGACGTGGGCTTCTTTAATTCTGTGTATTTTGAATACGAACGTGTCGCGTTTATAAGTAGAGATCACGAACTAGCATTGAATCGAGGGATTCTAGGAAATGAGAAATCGATATTTCGTCCAGTTCAATTTTACATTACATATTTTTATGTACGGATATTGTGAGCGCACTAATTGAAATCAAAACCATTTCGATTTAGACTTTTCAATCTACAAGTTACTGCAGATAAATCGTGGGCGTGATTATAGATAAAGAAACGCAATTTTCAATACGGCAACTTTTCACACGGATTTCGTGTCTGATTTCATATCTGAAATGCATTTATTTAAATCATTCTCTGGATCTCCCCTTCTTTTCCCTTCTGGATTATCGATCTTATCCGTTTAGCCTCGCGAAATTTTTGTCATGCAGTGTATTAAAATTTTATCGACGCTCTAGTGGTTTACGTACGTTCCGTCCGCGTCGACGCGTACTTCGAAACGCATTCATTCAGAATTCACCGTCTCAATCTATCCGTCCGCTCTTTTTGATATTATTCGCGCGACACTCGAACCGACGTATTTTTACCGGAACGCGGCAGTTGACTCGGAAGTGCATTCATTTAAATCACCATCTCGATCTTCCCCTTTCCCCGTGCCCTTGCTTCGTCCTCTTTCCTTTCTTTCCTCCTCGCCGTCCGCCTCTTTTCTCCGCACCTTCGGCGACACGCGTTATGCTCGCATGACGTAACACGTGTGGGCATCACGCACCGGCACGAGGGCCGTGTGGTATACCAGGGAGTGCGGATGTGTCAGGATCGGGGAGAGGGTCGAGACTCTTTCGAACCACGCCTTGTATTTGCGTCGCCATGCGTGCCACGCACCTCCTACTTTAACGAGACTGTCTGCTTGTTGTTCTCTCTTTCTCTGTCTTATTTTCTGTGTCTTGCTCTCTTTCTCTCTCTCTTTCTCTCTCGCACACCTCACCTCTTTGCTCTTTTCCTCTCGCCATCTCGCTTGTGAACCAACCGACCGACAGACCGGTCGGTCTCTCGTCTCGCACAATCTCATCTCACATCGTCTTTCTCTCTTTGTCTTTCTCTCTCTCTCTTTCTCTCTTTCTTTTACTTCTCTTACCCTCACGCTTCTACATCGATTATGCATGTTTCTTCCCTCCTCTCATACTTGTGCGCCTATCAAAAAAGGCGTCGCACCGCCTTCGTATTAGGCGAACGGCGTGACGATTCTTCATGCGGTTGAAAAGTGCGATCATATTGATTCCGGTTATCTGTTATCTTATACAAGAGCTTTGTATATCGCAGTTTTCGCAAACGACAATTCTTCATTAAGAAGTTTAAATATATCTTGATTTTGAAAACGTTATTATTTGTATCTTAAACAAGATCCTATATTGCGTCTACGTATCGCCTACGTATCCGACGAATGGCGATTCTTTGTGTGCGGTTGATGACGTAACGTAACCATGTACGTAATTTAAATGTAATTATGATTGTACGGATCGGCTTTTCTTAGACGAGACTTTTTATCGGGGATCGACTTACCATTCTCGGACTTTGGTGGAACGGGTTCAATCTTGACGGAGGTAGTGGTGGCATGAAGGGATGTGGAAACTTCTGCGACTTGACAGGGCACCGAAGCCAAAGGTTCCCTTTTTACGGTCAGGCTAGCAGCGCTATTGTTAGCACTAGCGCTGCTATCCGGTCCGTTCCAAGACGAGACGACAGGTAGTGTCCTGCTGCATCCCACATCTGAATGCACCATCTTTGTCTTTCCTGTAATCAATCAATTCCCGATCTCGCGGTCAACGCATACAAGTTCATAATAATTTGGAGTTTCGCGATGCCGCTCGATCGGCAATCCATTATGATGCGTGTGACAGTAATTTTTTAAATTTTAACATCTCAGTTTTCAGTTTATCGAATTTGCGAACTTAAATTTTTAGAGTTTTTCAATTTTCTTGGAGATTGGCTTTCAAATTTAAAAAAGTATGAAGAAATACAATCTTAGAAAAGTTCAGATTATGAAAAATGAGAAGAAAAATTCAAAGCTTTGATAATCCGAAAATTAAACGAAGCCCGACAGCGTCTTTGTAATCATTCAGAGATTCTAGAATATAAAAATTTGAAAATCTGAGAGACTGAAAAAAATGTGATTCGTATTCCGAACGGGGCAACGATACTCGGATATTGGCATATTTCGAATGGCGAGCAGGTATCCGGGTGTTCGGCTTATTTTGCCTGGTCCAAAGCATCAGCCCTAATCTCGAAGCGTGACGCGTTCGTATGCGCGATTCACTGGAGTTTACATTGGAAAAATCCGAGGGAGAACGGACGTCGTACCGTTGCTGTTCCTGCAGAGGCATGACGCCCTGGTCGATTTGTTCTCCAGCTTCACCGGTTGGCCTTGACTGGAAAGGAAAGCCTCCCGTTTCTTCGTGGCGGCGGCGGCGGCTTGAACGGCGATCTGGTTGCCGATCGCTTGGTTGCCACCGCCGCCGATACCACCGTGCATCATCATGCTGCTGGTCGCGCTGCTGGTGTTCGTTAGACAGGACGAACCGTTCACGGTGACGGTACATCCTGTCGCCGCCGCTGTCGCGCCTATTGGCGGTTGATATTCCTGCAGGAGGACACCCGTCGTCGGCGCAATGCCGCTGCTCGAGTTGGGCGACGAAAAGTTGTTGATGGTCAACGTTGGTGCGCCGGTTACTAGCGACAATTGAGGCGAGAATGTGTTCTGATGGAGGCCACCTTTCGTCGAAAAAGCATAGAAAATCGTTTCGTTAATGTATTCACACCCTTTACGATTAATTCACGTAATTGCGGTACATCGGGGTACAAACGTCAACAGCGCGTTATTTTTCATGAATTAATATAGACATCGATAGCGCGGAGAAATAAGAGAGTCTTAGATAATGAGAACCGAACGTAACGACCTGTGCTATTTTCGTGATGATTGATATTGTGCCAATAATTTGTAAAATAATTTGATGGAAATGATTTCCGCGGAAATATTGTCGAAACGCAGCAGTGAAACGTATAATCGGAGAATATAGGAAAAACTCGCTTATACTCGTGTTTTTTCCGAGCTTTTTCCGATGTTTCCTCTGCGTGGGAGGAAGTGTTACAAGTGTTCATTTGTTGTACAGATAAAATTGCTGTTCGTGTAATGAGTTACGTAAAATTACTTGTTAAGTGAAAAAACCTGAAGATATTCTATTCTAATCTACTCTCCCCTCTAATGTCACTTCATTTCTTCGATTATCAAATTCCGTTGATTAAATTCGTCATATTTATTTAGTTAATACAAGAAATATAATTAATGTAACATGCCAATTATTTTATTCTTGATAGCGCTTTTTTGTGATCAAAGATATGGTACTTACTCTGCTACACTTACCTCTTTGACGCGACTTTATTTCTTTGTTTATCACATACTAACTAGGACTGATGATCTGGATCGGATAAAGTGAGTTATCCGGGTATCCGGGTATCATTAACTATACATATATATAGTAATACCATTGATGCTATCAGGATGAGGGCGATTTAACATTAGCACATTGTTAACACATATATCAATATATTATGTGTAATTCTGCTTCTTTTAATTTCTTGTAAGTTATAATGGTGCCGCGAGGGAAATTACTCATATACAAGTTCTTAAACGTCAACTAAAACTACTCGTCCGTCTTGAAGATGTCGTTATAAATTTAAAAAGGCTACACTCTCTATATTTCATGTCAATTTGTATTATTTAGTATTTCACGATTTTTCCAACTCCGAGATTCCAGAACATTTTTTCGCTGATATACCGATAGATCTCTCACCGTGATGCAGATGGTGAATTCCGGTGAGGTTAAGGGTGTGCTGCGTGTGCTGCGTATGCTGCGCGTGATGAAGACTACCGGCCACGTTAACGCCAACACCCTGCAGGCTCAGGGCCTGCTGCCCCGTGGCGGCTGCGGGCGCCAGGTTCGCCAAATTTTTCGCCAGCAGCTCCAGCTGTGTCACGGGCACAGGGCTGTAGGGCGATCCCGGCGGGGGCGTGGGAGCGCCCCAGGTGTAGCCACCCATCCCAACCCCGACCGCCGCGGAAAACACGCTCTCTGAAACTGGAGAATCCACCGCCGATTAATCGACCCGGCCGGCCTTCCGCCGATGACGTATACGTAAGTTTCGTCTGCCGCGAGTAGGAAATACCGCATACGGTATCGCGCGATATACGCGAATAGGCCGACTCTACTTGGCGTAACGCGCCAGTTTGTTAACCCTAGAACGTTTAACTCTTTCACGCATCATGTCCGTACGATGCTACACAATACGCTTCTTTCTTTCCTTTCCGCAGGTAAGGATGACTGATCCGCACAGTCATTTAGGCTTAGCGAACCCGCGGACCCGAGCTCAATACACTGTGGACACTCGCATATATATTTGCACATCATACACGTCTATACACACACGTTTTTGTAAATGATAGTGCAACGAAATACAATTAAAGATAAGGCGGAAGCAAGATACAAGATACAAAACTTAAGGATAGTACGAATAAGAACATATATATATATGTTCGATGTACATGAATCAGAATAGTGAAAGTTAAAGTTTATTTTTTATTTTATACCTCATAATGCATTTTATTTATAACGTGATATATTTTTGTTATTAATATGCTATTACTTATAATGTAACAACTATTCAGTTATTCTTTATTTACAATCAAGCTTGCACAAATATCTACAAATTTTCGCAATTTATGTAGCGATACGAGTACATTTTATACCTTTTATTATTGGCAAAATATGAACGAATACCGCTCGTGGGGGCTACTTTAGTCCCATATTTCGCCAATAATTAAAATTCCATATTTCACCGATAATTAACTGATTCGATATTTCATCGATAATTAGTTCACTGTGGAGTTTTTCTAAAGGGAGAACGTAATACACAATAGAATAGAGCGATTAATATTTTCGGGATACCGTTTCGCAAGGAAAACGCGTAATTCTCGGGAGGAAACGCGTCTATCAGCGCGCGCGGCAGCGCGATATATCTTCGGCGGTGTGCTGCGCCATTGCTAGGACTATTGATTTTATCTAAATGCGGATACGTATCTGCCTATGCAAATTAATGTGTGTGAAAAATATCCTGATGATTTCGAACTACGATATACGGTATTGGCTGTCGTTAATGGGTGTATCGAGAGCTGCGTGTCGCGTCTTTCTCTCAAAGCGCGCACTAAAAAAAAATTTGCATTTATACGTCCGCCGATTCTTTCCTTATCGCGCGTGCTTCATACTTACTTGTCCGTTCTGCAGCAAGCAACGAGAAAGCATGAAACGTATAAGGTTGAAGATTAGAAATTACGAGAAATGAAATTTTCCCCACGAGATGTGAAGAATCGACTTGAGATTCGATTCGAAGAGTTCGTACTCTTCCTTCTTATTGTCAATTAACGAGCACCTTTATAACACCGCTTTTTCGACGGTTCACGAAAGACGTCTTCGGAGGAGGCCTTTCACGGGCCCTCCGCGGTTCCCTCGTCCACAATGGAGCAATTATGCAATTAAAGCGGCGAACTCTCGGATAAGGACCCGGAGGAGCTGAAGAAAAACGCGCGCGTCACAAATAGAATTCCCGCGTGCAGCCGCGTGTCCAGTCGTCGTATAGACCTTTACCGCGCCTTCTTAGTTCCTAACAACCTCATTGTTCGAGGTGTAACCCAAAACGCGGCTCCGTGAAGTGGTAGACGGCGAGTGGATTCGAGAAAGAAAAAAAAAAAGAAAGAACGTTAGGGACGCGTCGGAGGGTCGAATCCTCCTCCTTCACGGAGTCTTGTCGAAAATCGAATCTCGCCGGCGAGATTTCAATTATCCGAGGGAGGGTTGTCCCGTTTGCGAAGGTAGCTGGAAAAATTACGAGGATGGCAAAGTTTAACATTAAAAGCGACTTCTAATCGGTTCGTTCGATCGCCAAGCGCTCCTCCGTTTGCAATCTTACATTGATGTTTGCTCCAGTCATTTACGAAAATCTTATAGATAACACATTATAACTTGGAAATTTTATGTATATATTATGTATATTTTATGTATATAATTTTATGTATGTATTTGTTATCGCACATATATTCGAAATCCCCCCCCCCCAAGCTCGACTTATGAAATGTCTTTATCTTTAATGACGCGGTGTAATATGGAATAGATCGATGTCTAGACATTGTAATTGAGAAGAAATCACAAGATTTGTCGGAAAATTTATCATTAATATACTCTCTAAATTTTCTGGAGTGAATCTCACTCCAAAAAATTAAAAATACTACTCTACCACTCGGGTGGCAGTATTTTCACTCTTTTGGAGTGAGATTCACTCCAAAGAAAATTTAAAGAGTAAGTTCAAAATTTATCAAAATTATTTTATAAGATATAATATTGATATTTAATATTATTTTATAAAATATAATTCATAACAGCGTCGCTTGATGGGAGCGATTAAGATTACGAAAATGTTCGCTCTTTTTGTGAAATGTAAAGCGACGCATCCGCAGCGAGAGATATTCGTAGAAAGCGAAGTCGTAAGAAAGGAAGTCGTAAACTTACCCTTGTGCGTCGCGTGATAAGCCCGTGCTGGCATCGGTTGCTCGGGGGTGGCGGGGGTGGCGGCGACGTAACTGCCCCCGCCACCCCCTGGGAATAACGAGTACAGTCCGTAGCGGTTCGCACCTGTAATATCATCGTCGAGATATCAAACGGTTAATAATTGATTGAAGATGAAAAATTGACGATAAGGCAACGAGGTTGCGATTGACACTTAATTTTTTACTGAGGATGAGGCTCGTAGACGATATACCTCTGAAAAAGAATGCGTTTAAACGACTAATATATAAAGATAGATACGTGACATTCATTACTGTACTTATCTCAAATATCCTGAAAAGCATCAGATTATTTTTTTCCTTGGGCTCCGCAAATACGCAACTTATAGCTATTAGAGTAAACATCAGGGAAAGATTCAATATTTCCTCTCTTTCTTGAACATCTAACTCAATGACACGCGATACGAAAATATATAGCAAGTCAATGTATATTTTATATCTATATGGTTAAAACGCTTTGTTTCGCTTTGAATTAAACCATAGACTTAAATCGCAAATGCAATTTTTACAGGTGTAACAATATTTTTTGCATATCGTCGAATCAGAAAATCAAAATTTTCATGTCGTTTCCGTATGATGTATGTTCATATGTTACAGACACAATGAATCCAACAATCAGAATTTCTATATCGTTTCCGTATAACGTTTCAAATATCACAGATTACAATATATGATTTATCATAGAATTATATGAAACGCAATGCGTCACGGCAACTCGTATCCACATTTCATCGCAATTCGTAATATCTCGAAATTGGACTTATTTGCGAAATAAACTGCTCGTGTTTACGACTGATTCTGTAAAAGCGTAAATAATTATAATATATTGTCCGTGGACTTGTCCAGTTTTTCAATCGGACAGACAAATCAATTTTCAAGACAAATACAACGACAGACACCGCAAAACACAGTCCATTATGCTAAACCGTAAGGTGCTAACTTGATAACGGGATAAATACTTGTTCCATCTCGAAATTGATAAAGTTCCATGAAATCCACAATCTCGCGACTTAGTGCCATTAAAAGTATTGTTTCGTAAGACAGAGGAAAGAATCTGTACTGAAATCCGGGATTGAACCGCGGGGACATTTAAATCTTCGGTTTAACTCTGCTCTCTCTCTCTCCAACTATTTTCGACGCACGAGGAGTCTTTCGTGCAGTCCGAATTCAAGATATCGGATTGATAAAGCGTGATAAGCGTATTACACGTCAAGCGTGAACGACCTCTGATCAATAGTGAATATTACGTAACGTGTACTGAATGTATCGAGGAAAACAGCGATATACTTCGCCGAATTGGAGGACGATCTGATCTTAACGAAAACTCAATTGAACGAATATTTTTTTGCATCTTTCTTTTTCTGAATGTTCGATATTAGATATTTCGATGACTGAAGAGGAAGCTTTAAGATTCGGATTGAAATCAAGAACAAAGTTATCTATCAATGCGATACATTTCCGATATAAAATAACTTTGTGATCATAGCTTTCAAATTGTATTTTAGCGAAGGAAAGATCGTTGGAGAATTCGATCGATCAATAGTGCGATATTGTAGTGGATAACGCAAGTAATAGATGCAACTTCTCGCAACGTATTTGGGAGAAATATTCGCGATATCGGACTCTCGAATCCTCTCGTAGCGGTTCAATCTCCGGATTGTTACGCCGCCACGAGATATAATAATGATGATTGATACGTATAATGTAATGCGAACCTTGATTGTGAGCGGGCGCAGGCGTAGCGGCCAGAGGTGGTATGCCCTGGGACTGTTGATTGGGAACCTGATTGGGCTGCGCAGGTGCTAAAGGCCATAGGGTCGTCGTAGCGGCAGCGGGGCCGGTTGTCTGCTGAGCCCGTGCCACCGTGTCCCCCACGGGACGATCCCCGGTCCCACTTTGGGCCACGGGAGGGACCAACATCGAACCACCCCCTCCCGAGGCTGCAATCAGAGTATCGAAAAAACACACGACATTAATCTCAATTTTAGACAAACGCGCACGCGAGAGGCGCGTTTCGATCGAGGACGCGATCTTAATTTCAATTGTGGACTCTCCTCTGAAGTAGAACAGAAGTTGTAAACAGTTTAAATTTCTCTCAAGATCTTCCAAAGTGTCATTATCGTTTCGTCGCAATATTTTCACTGTATTGATTTTAAATATCCTGTCCCAATTAAAAAGACTTGAATATAGTTAGAATTAGTCGAAAAGTAAGATTAATTTACGTTCATGAACAATAGATCGTTGTTGCTCTTCCGCATTTTAATTTAACAAAAAAAAAAAAGAAATTATAGAAAATAAAAGCCAACAAACGAGCAAAGATGTAATATATTAATATAATCATATAATTTTATTCTGTAAAATTAAAGCGTAATTTTACCGAATAAAATTATATAATTATATTACATCTTTGCACGTTTGTTGACTTTTATTTTTTCTAATTTTTACCCAGATAGCACAGAAAATAAAAAAAGAATTCAGTTATACCAATTCTGAGTTTATTTTCAGATGGAAAAAGAATTCTTTTTCTAAAAGGGATTCTTTTTGCACCTGAAAATGAACTCAGAATTGATGACATAAAACTGAATATACTTACAATTAATGAATTCTTTTGGGCTCTGTGTGCTATGTGAGTATTTTATTCTAAATTACGAGCGAATATACAATTTTTACAAAAAAAGATTGATTCGACATTGGTCAAGGCATCCATTCTTAATGCTACGGTCTGCCATTTCGGGGCACCCCGTAGATAGACCTGTGGCAGACGTCTACACCTATAAATCTTCGTTTAGAGTTTGCGTTTAGTATCGGCGCAATGTACAGACGGGAAATTACTTATACTTTTGAACCGAAGTCGAGTCGAAAGTGCTGATGCCACGGTACGTCGAGGTATCGATATACCGCGTTATTAGTATTGTAGCATCGTTAGCGTCTCGTGTAGAGAGCGGCTTTGGGAAAAAGAAAAGTCGACGAGCTTAAAAGGGGAAAGAGAAAGAGGCGCGGGGGAGGGGGCGGGAGGCTGGAGATCGTGAGATTGACGAGGCAGTCGAAAGGGAGAAACGACGAGAGGAGAAGGTAGTAAAACGGAAAGGAGAACCGAAACGAAGAATATAGAGCGGTTTCGATGAGCTGAACGAGAAGGCGCACGAGGAGGCGCACATGAGGATAGGGGGAGAGGAGGAGGGGTTCCGTTTCGTAGCGGCGCGGGTGGATTAGGTCGGAAGGAACAGTAGAAGGGTGCGAGGTAGGAAAGGGTAGCAACAGGTCGGCAAGCATAATGTAGTCTCTTAGATATACAGGGTGACGCGCCTAAGGGTGTGCGCACGGGCAATCGCCATGAGTCGATATGTCCGGTCTTGATACTGCCGGCTTAATTCATTTTAATGCCGCGATTTTTCAGCATTACAATTTATCGGTAAAAGGATTTTCGTTCTGTTAACGTTTTTCGAATTACCGCTCATGGGCATAAATTTTAGATCGTTCTACTTTCTCCCGAGTAATTTTCTGAGGTTATACACATGCCAGGTGGAGTAGCAGGATCAAATTAATTAAGACATAAATAATGGAAAGAAAGACACTTAGCTTTATGTTCAAAGTATCAGGAGTGTAAACGGTCGATTTTCAAGAATTCCACGAGAGGAAAACCTAGTTGAGCAAGATCTAGATCGACCGCGGTCACGTCATTCACGCCGAGTATTTCATTAAGAACGAGATACATTAATCCCAGTTAATTAACTTGTATCCACGCGAATTTTTTGGGGACAAAAATACATCAACTATGTGTAACTAATAATAAAAAAAATAGATTTTAATATGTAACTGGATTTATTTGCATTAACAAAGTAAAAGTTTGTCGTCTCCTAGTTTGGCCGGGATTAATTTCCGGTTACGCCCTAGCTAGCTCCGTATGTATGTGCGCGGCACAACGGCGGCGTTATAGTGATAGTGCACGCTGTTTCCATAAGGAAAATAGCGCTACGGTGTTACAGCCGAGTTACAAGTAACAAAGTTAATCGCGATCCTTGACGCGCCCTCGCGTGCGCTCGGTCATGCGTGCACGCGCGCTTACGCATATAAGCGCTTACGCATACTCGGAATCGGCGCGCATTCGCCCTCGTTACCGCGTGCACGCGTGCAGTAACGACCGACCGCCAATAACCTGTCAATCCGCAGGTATACATCGTGTCGGAGGAATACACGTGGCACGACGGCAGCCGCCGATAGTCGCACGAATGCGAATTATTATGAGCCACCTCTCTTTTCACGGGTACCTCTCTCGCGTACGAGATAGAATATTTCAGCGCATTTCGAATTAAAACCTTCAGACATATAGACTGCTCGTATATACGCGGTGTCCAAGACGAACGTAAGATAAAATAGGATAATGCGGATGATTCAGTGTTGTCGTCTTATATCTTCTGGCTTCCGGGTGCGCGTACAAATAAATCATTAAACGAAAGTGTCGGCGATGCGATGACGTAGGATATAATTGGCGGCAATCTTTTCTTTGAGCGGAAAGTGCCATATATGTGTGGAAATTACACAGAAATTTTCGCACTTCGCATCTTGCGGTTTATTTGATATGGGAGTCGATTTTTCCTTGATGTACAATATAATGGAAGTACGGAGGAATCCATAGGTCTTAAATTATGAACGACCGAAACTGTGTGAAGAGTTATTCGGAGACTAAGCTCTGAAACGTGTTAATCGCGATATGGGATACATTTTGTATTTACGAAAAGTCATAAGCAAATGAATTGGACGAGAAAGTTTCCCTGGAACCCTTTGACAAAGCGCTTTCTGACGTAAGCCCCTAGGAACTTTCTTCGCACACTCAACCGCACTCGGCATGGAAATCTGGCCGTGTGTTTTACAAACACCCCATACGTACGTGTCGGCGTGCAATAAATAAATGGCGGTGACGAAAAAGTCGGCGCGAAAGGCACGGTGGTGGAGACGGGTGGAGACGGGGGATTCCAAAGGAGGCGAGGTCCCGACAACGGCCTAATTTTTCATTTCCATCGCTCCCGCTGCCAGCAGCGGAGCGGCCGGGGGCCGCGGAAAGGGGAACGGGGAGGAGGACGAGAGGGTGGTGGAAGAGAGAAGGGAGAACAGGTTTCCAGGTCGATAGGGTACCCCTACGCGGGGCCCTACGAGCCCCGCGTATCTACCTGACGACGCGAGCCCTCTACGCGGAGGGAAAAATGGTGAACAGGTGCTCGTAAAAATCTGACACCTCCGACTTTTCTCGCTCTCCCGCTTCCTCCGCTCGTTCTCTTCTCCCAATCGGTGAGGCGAATTATGGGGTCGAGACTATCGCGAGCTTCCTACTTGGTGACTCCGGTGGATTACGTCGCAATCAACGGGAATCTTGCCTTTTAGCTTCCGCTTTGTTTAACAATCGCGTAGCTCGAGTATTATCGCTATCCGCGCCGCCAGATAGACGCAAGGAAGCTTAACTCTGTTATCGTTAATCGATGTCCAACGATGTTAATAAAACTGCGTATAGAATTATTGGAAAGAATAAAATCGTGTATATATTGTAGGATTCTTTATTTCAAGAAAGAAACGAACGCAGATTTTATGATTTTTCCTTCTCTTTATTTTCTTTATTTTCGATTAAAAATCCGAAGACGCTAAGATCGAGGATCCTGAAGAGAATCATTCCTCTTTCACACCTACTCCCTGCTTAATTCCGAGGTAGAGATTATTCCTTTCCCTCTCACATCTACCCCTCCTTTATCAAGGGAATACACTCGTGTTCTTCTCTATCTCTCCCGGAACTTCTACATCTTTTCCCGATTACTATTCATCGGTCACGTTGAATCTCTCTCGCAATCGCATTATCAGTGACCGCACTCGGAATGATCGATAAGCGATCGCCAACAACTGCCAGGCCGACAACAGCCTGCCTCCTCCGATATCCGTCAAATTTTACCCCGCGACAACACGGATGAGGGTTAAGGAGTCCTCGTTCTCTCTCTTCCTCATGTGTGCGCGAGTCAGGGGTCGTGCACACTCCGCTTCGCCATCGGGTGGGTCGATATATGCAGCCTAGGCGACGGGGAAGAGGGTGGCCGGGATTCCCGCGCGCGCCACCCCTCTGCCCCCATACGACATGATGGGGGCGACCGAGCCGAGCCGGCTGTCATTTCCACACACAGCCCCACGCTATTTCGAGGGCCGAAATTTCCGATCTCTAACAACGCCCCGCGTGGAAGATGCCTTTTTCCGTCGGTGAGACTAATAGTGTAGCTTAATGCCACTTTTTTTTTTAAGAAATTGATAAATCTAAAGGAAAAACTAGAGACTTGAGAAATAGAGTTTCGAAACAAGACAGTTTAATTTGCTTTATTAATAATTCGAGAGGATTGTGCTCGCATTGAGGGAATGAATTTTCGACGACTTTTCGCACCGCTGCTGCACCGAACCTCTAGATTGCGCGTCTAGAAATTATTCCGGTGCGATTAGAAATGTGCGCTCGAGACTGCGTCGACGAGACGTCCGTCGTGTTCGTAGCTGTAAACCAAGGTCCGAGAGGCCGAATCCTGAAGGCCTTCTTTAAGCCTCTCCAGAGAAGGCCCGAGAAGAGAAGGTTCAGTTCGAGAGGACAGGTTCTCCATCCTTCTTCAGTGCCTCTCTCGTCGGGTTTCACCTACACGCTCCGGCTCTTTCGTCGATCCTTCTCTCGACCCACGGATCTCGCGTTCGCTGATAGTGCTCGCTCACTGCCAGAACACCTGGTCGGCCGAGTGAACCGAGTCGAACAAAATCTCTCGAACACGCATCGAGGAATTTTTCGTTGCCGTACATTTTCTCAGTATGTATTTTTTTTTCTCTGCTACGTCACAACGTGGTAATGAAGCTTGTCGCGGACTATTACGCGTAGAGTGGAATTACTTTCCCAAAAATTCTAGCTTCCGCTTGACTAAACTCAAAGATG